ATGTGATAACGTTTTAGCTTAGTTAAAAAAAAACATAGTTAATTTATTCTCATAAAAATATTTAATATACGCCCTTGGATCGAGGCGTGTTTATGCGTGCGTACTGGGAATTGAATAAAATCTAAAATCATTAAATTTAAAACATATTAAATCATATCACTCCTGTGACTAATTTACAATATCACTGCGACTTAAGATTACGCAAGCGCCACACTCGCGAAAAGTCTTAATCCAAAAAAAAGGTCGTAAAAAACCACGAGAATATATAATGTAGCCAAATTAAAAATAAACACCTTTTGAATACCTTGTCCGGCTTCTAGAAGTCAGAAATAAACAACTAGATTTCTCGCTGTCTGGTCTTAAATAGCTGGAGCGCTGCTGAATGTGGCTTTAATTGATATTTGAAGAATTTGGTACTTAACTATGGAGGGTAGAGGCATGGAGAACCATCTCTGTGTATGAAAAGTGTCCGTACAAACGCGTCCAATATGGGTCGCGCTGCGGTGGCCTAGGATAAATGTACATTGGCTTGAATAATAATTAGACACTGTGTATTAGACTGCGAAAATAATAAATGAATTTTACAGATAATAAATAAACGTGTAATAACTTTCGGACAATAATAGTATTTTAATATTTTAACTCAGCACACCTCATGTCGTAGTTTTTCGTACGGTAGCGACCTCTATTTTCAGTATACAGGGACACTTTTTCAACTTTCCCCCCGGATGAGATGGTTCTCCTTGCCTCTATACTCCATATACTTAACCATATCAGGGTTGTCATACTATAAAATAAATAAGAATACAATGAAGTACTGAACGGAAATTGTGTAATTATAGAACTCAACACTGTTTTTATGCTGTCGGTTATTATATTATTGTAGCAGTTAAGTATTAGACCTTACTAGGTTTTGCCCGCGGATCCGCCCGCGTGTTTGACGGTTATCTCTGAAAAAATAGAATATGTCCTTCCTCAAAAATCGAACTATCTACATAGCTAATTTCATCTAAATCAGTTCAGCGGTTATTGATTCCGCATACTAACCTCCACTCCCTTTCCAACCCCTTAAAGGACGATTTCTGGGATAAAAACTATCCTATGTCCTTTCCCTGGTCTAGAACTATCTCTATACCAAATGACATCTAAATCGGTTACCTCGCGTGAAGAGGTGACAGACAGACATAATTTCGCGTACTACATAATGCAAACAATTCGCAAACATTTTTGTACATTTAAGGGAGACAACGCACCATCAGAACCCATCTGCTCTTATGCCTCCTCTTTCCCCCCTCCCCCTCTCCCGTGCCTAATTAGTTGCAACAGCGTTCTCTTTCAATTCAATAGAAAGCTCTTATGTCAGGAACCTCTTTATTCCATTATCTGTAGCAGATCTAAGAAATACCAGCGGCATCTCTATAACAGTGAAAGGGTTATATGGAATCGAATGTAATTGAATGAAACTCTATGAATACTCAAGATAATGAATGATAAATGAATACTATATGAAACTATGAATGCTCTAGTGTTTTGTCATAATTATTATTGTGCCCGGGAATTATCAAATGTTGGAATAAGTAGCAAATTAGATAGTAATCTGACAAAAAGAAAATTCAATATATATTGGTAGTTTTGATCTTTTTCATTCTTCATTTATCTTTGTCTATAACTAAACCACAGTGTTGATTTATCATAGGTGAAATCGCAGTGACTAAAACCAATCCTCCATCATATGATTATTATTTAAAAGTAGCAAGGATTTTTACCTGATAGCGCTCGAAGGAGGGTTAATGTTTTTCGATTGTATAGCATATTCTTTGTGTAAACGGCTTGATGGCTTCACGCTCTGTGGTGTAAACGGCTTGATGGCTTTTGGCTTGAAAACTGTCGTTAGATTCGTCTTAAAAAAGAAAATTATAAAAATTAAGGTCGCTGGTTTGTACATCTAAGTACAAGTACCTACGTTTTTACGCAGTTCCCGAGCGTAAAGGACATCGGCGGCGTTATCAGCCGTCGACGGGGCCGCAGGCTGCCAGAGAGTGGGGACCTCTGGTGGCAGATTAACTGCTGCGATAGGCAAAAGGATGGCGGCCTGGTCGCAAAAATGCGATAACATATTATAACGATTGGCTCGATAGGCGGGGGAAGTCCGCAGCTACCCCGGGATAGGGCTTTACTGGGCGCGGCGTCGATCCGGGGGGGGGGGGACCTGAAATATTATGGCCCGGGCCTTAGGGCGCGTGTCCGGTCGTCGGGGTGGTTTTTAGTGGTAACACCACATATTCCTGGCTCCTACATCCCCAAGGAGCCGGAGATCCGAAGGGATTTTCCACCCCGTCAACAAACATTAAAAAGTTTTTTTTTTGTAATAATTAGCTTGTTTGTGATTAATATTTTTGAAGAAATGAGGTGAGAAACATGTTTAGAAGCTTCTACTAGCGTCAATAGCACCAGCAAACCACCATTGAATTGCACACACGGCAGAAGTTAATCTTCAGAAAAAAAATATTAAACGAAAATATACACACAAATATTATTGTGTGTAAAATCAATACAAATAATTTACTAATTTAAAATAAATTTAATTTAACATAATTTATTGGTCAATTTATTGATTAAATTAAAACAATGTGTTAAATAATTAACATAAATGAATAAACCAACGAACGTTAATACGCAAATGCAAAAAATAAAACACGTGAATAATACACCACGTTGTTTATGACACATTTTGTGAAGGCTTCGTTGTAAGGATACGCAAAGACACTGTATACTTGTAATCTATCTCATTCTCTTGCAGGCTAAATTCTATTTATGACTATGTTTGTTCCTTTTTACTGTTGCTTTTTCGTTTCATCTAATTTTTACATCACAAAGGTGCTAAAGAAGTTTCAAATCAAGAAAATTGTCATTGAATCAACTGTCGGAACATCATCTCTTTATTTTGGATAGACATCCGTTTCCATACACTCACCAGCTAATAATATGTTAATACCTCTTCCTCCTCAATAGATAAAGAACTTCGCCAACCGAGTGGATTAAAGTCTAAAGAGAAATATGCTTTGTAATGCCTTCGCCTCTCCCCCATGGTCAGGTCAGTTACTTAGGTGTATTAGTAAGATTGATAGTGCCGATAGCACCATTGTCATGATGCTTTCACTGTCAACATTAAACCGAGGTCATGCCTTCTATTGTTTGCAGTACGCTTTGTTTAAATGTCAGATGTCCTTGAAACCGTGGGGTTTACATTGTTATAGATTTTAGATAAGACCAAACTTTGCTTATTATTCACCACACTATATACATATTTGAGCAGTAATTTGTGTATTTTATTCATCAAATTAAATTAAATAACATTAATATATGGAACACTGTCTGCATGTATTTTATTTTTTGAAACCAGCTACCGTAACGTAGAAAAAATGAAAATCTTACGCCGGTTTTGGTGGGCAAGGGATTTGTAAATCGTTTGTTTCGTCATTAGCGTCATTATCATCATCGGACCTCGCAGCATCATTGTATGTATGTATATGTGTTTGACACGAAGTTAAGTAGGTAAACCAAAACCACTTTCCGATGTCCAATTGGGCTCTGGTGTACATACATATGTATCTTCAGTGACAATACAATAATGTTGTACCATGGAGCTGTACATGAAACCGGAAGACCATAGGCATTCCTTTATGAGTCACCTATCGAGTTTGGGCTCTTTTTTTGTCTTCGCGAATTCTTTGGTGCTACATGATATTCTGAATCTATAAAGGATTGTTTTAAAACAAAATTATTTATTAATATTTTGTTTATAACGAACCACATAAAGTACTTGTCAAACCAGACTACAAAGGATGTGACATGAGAAGGTCTCTCATGTTTCCATCCTTTGTTGTCTGGTTGGTTTGTCATCGATAAACAAAATATCTTTTCCAACACTAGTTCGTATAAAGCTTCAAGTATTTAGCAGTAAGCAAAATCGGTACAAGGTTACCGATATCAATAAATCGATATTGCGATAGAGAAAGTGCAACCTACACAGTGTGCAAGTAATATAAAGGCTAAAATCATGTTCACCTATAAGGTTTACAAGACCGGACCTAAGTTTTTTGCAATACATTGATATAGTAAACTAGCTGACCCGGCAAACGTTGTTTTGCCATATACATTATTTAATTTTTTTTGTCAAAAATAAAATAGGTTTATGAAAAATAGATGTTGGCCGGTTCTCCGACCTACCTGATATGCACACAAGAATTCAGGAAAATCAGGTCGGAGGAGTTCAACTTCTAACACCGTGACACGAGAATTTTATATATTAGATGTAGAGTAGAACTAAATCATAGTTGTACAGATTTTCTCGTGTTCAGCGTTCGTCATTCAGCAAAAGACTAGCTCCTGGCTAGTGAAGTGTTTGTATACACGCATAGTATGTAACAACGAACTGACGAAGACATGATTTGACGTAATACATAATACTGTATTTGACTTTAGACCTTTTTTGTTATTTCAGTGCTTTTAGTTATATCCATGTGTGTGTGTGTGTGATGTGTTTAAGGTAACACGAATTTTTACTGAATAAGTAAAAGGTTTCACGAATTGTATAGTAACTTCAGGTGAGCGTCTGGGCTCCAAATATGGTCACTTATTGCAAGGGTTCAAATATGTATATTTTTCTTAATTACATTATTCTTGTAATTACTAATAATAATATAATAATATTCTACCACATTCACACAACGCTATCTAGTCCCAAACTAAGAAGAGCTTGTACTATGGCTACTAGACACCTGATATAAATACATTATACTTTTTTTGCAAATACATACATTTTATACATAGAAACACCCAGACCAAATCAAACATTAAATGTTCACACACACAAAAGTTTGACTTGAGCGGGAATCGAACCCGCGACCTTTGAAATAGCAGTCCGTTACACAAACCCCTACGCCATCCGGTCGTCGAGATTGAATCTGGGGTCTAACCAACGATCTGTATTGTTTCAGGAATATGGAAGTGATCGGTATAATGGGTGAAGGCAGAGAAGATGCTTGGGGTCAGACGATGCAGCCACCAAGGCTGCTTATGCAAAGGGTTCACATACCCTTCACTTTTAAGCTAGAGGAGAACGCGCCTATTGGATACAATGGTAAGTCTTTGCTCTAGATATAACCGGTTATTTTTAAGGTTAAAGTGAACAGCCTCTAGCAGTCCACTGCCGGACAAGGCCGCTCTTAGAAAGGAGGTTTTGGCCTACTATACCAAGCTGGCCAGACGGGTTAAAAAGGGTATGTTTCAAGTTTTCTTTCTCTTGGCAGTGCTGTTATTCTGCGTAGTTTGCTCCCTTAGTCGACTTTACGACACCCAACATGATGAATATATGGATGGTGATACTTTGTATTCTTAATCCGTCACCACACGGACCTGACAAGAATTACTATAAGTCTTCCAAATATATAAAAAGACGTAACCAAGAAATAATATGAAACCTCTTTGCATGTACCTTATAAGATTGCTACACCACCCAATGGTTGACTGAAACTAGAACAGTGCGGAGACTTCCACATAGGTACAACTAAAACACACACATTTCATACCAATTGACGAAGAGTAACTACTAATCTTGCACCGCGCAATGAACGTTCAAGCCAATCACTACATACATATACCATTATAGTAGTTCCTGCATCGCGCAATGAAAGTTCGCGCCGATGGCCACAGCCAGATCAGACATGATAATCTCGCCTGGTCAGAAGATCCTCAAATTGTGTTGGAGGAACATAACGCAAATTCCTCCTCTTTACTACAGATCCCTTTACACTGAGGTCAACTCGGTAAATCGAGAATACGAGTATAATCTGCAGCAATTTTATACGCTCTCATGAATAATAATATAGTGCTACATAGAGTTGTTATAATTATGACCAATTATAGACTATTACGTAAGAGTCTAGTTTATTTTGATCTCTGACCATGATAAGACAGGTACGTTTTTCTTTACTAACAAGATGTAAAACTTGTATACGTGCTATCTGATTATGCATATACAGGTGTATCTTGATTTACGATGATAATATTGAGAGACAACTCGTTATATTTGATATAATAATATCTTTAAATAGCGCAGTAGCGTTGTGTAACAGTAACTAGCGGCAAAACTTTGATCGGGCCGCAACATAACTTATTATAATGCTTAGACCGATAGGCGGGGGAAGCCCGCGGCTTCCCCGGGATAGGGCTTTGCTAGGCGCGGCGTCGATCCTGAAATAACATAGTCCGGGTTCTCCTCAGAGTCGGAGGCCTGAGACAGGCTGTCGGAGTGGTTTTTAGTGAAAACACCACATACTCCTGGTTCCTGAGTTCTCAAAGCAGGAGATCAGAAGGTATTTCCACCCCGTCAACAAAAAAAAAAAAGGCTCTACGTTACGAAGGAAAACTTGACACAAACCCTATATAAACTCGTCTGCCCAGCGCCCACGCCGGCCAGGTAGTAGCCCAAAATCTCCTTTCTTAGAAGAGGCCTAGATATGTCCAGCGGTGGACTACCAAAGGCTGTTAATGATAATAAATACCTGCCGACTCATGCGACTTATAACCAAGCAATGAGAACATTAGTGATTGTATTGTAAGTTCTTAGACAGTATGGTAGATTAGATCTAAATATGCATACCATTCAAACGACAGACCTTAAGCAAGGTAAGGCCAACACATTGGCACTGTGTATGTAAATTTTAAAACGGAAACTTTCTACAAGACAACTTCTAAAAATAACACTGACTTCACACTTCATTAGTTCTAGAAAAAGTGGGCAATAATTCTTTATTTTAATTATATGTATACAATATACAGTATTTTGTACAATGTAAATGTATTGTATATAAAAAAATGTAAATGTATCATAAAAAAAACTATTGAAAAATATACCAAGAGACTTATTGACATTGCATTGAGATTTGACAGTAAATAAAATGGTGGTATGTAAAATAAAAAAACATATTTCAAATTTTGCTTATATTTCAAATTGTGAAACAGTAGTACAATATATTGATTTAATCTGACAGGGTCATTTTCGGGAAATCGCCATTATCATTTTCATCTGATGTACTTAGTTTATCCATGATATCCATGGTAGATATCCCGTTTATAATAACTGCTTATCAAACAGATTAAAAATAAAATAAAATTAAGTTACTAATATATTAAGTTACTAATATATTAAGTTACTAATATATTAAGTTACTAATATATTAAGCTACTACTATATTAAGTTACTAATATAATCGTCCACAGAATCGGCCACTTTTCGCTGTAACAGTAGTTTAAAAGCGGAAATTCTCAAAGGAAAAAGCGGGATAATTATTGTTTACCTACTCGCTGGTCTGTTGTGAAAGTAAAAGAAAATGCTACACTTTATAAACCGGTATCTATTATCCCGTGCAAAGCGTAAAAGTGGTCCGAGGGAGAGAGTTAATACACCATTGTGTTTGGAGAAAGGCCATGGGTTGATAAACTATGACGTCACGACTGTGATGATTACTGTTGTATTGTTTGATGACCGTAGTTTTGAAGTGCCTTTAGGAGAAAACAAATGAAAAGAGATCTGTTTTTGATAGATAGATATAATATAAATCACGACCCAAAAACATTTCTTTGCATCACATCATACATCTTACGGCACCAATGACTTTTAATTGATTAGCCTGCTGGTCTAGTGGTTAGTAACCCTGACTGCTACGTCAGAGGTCATGGGTTCGATTCCCACCCAGGACAAATAATTATGTGATGAGCACGATGATTTGTTCTGTGAGTGTACTTTATCTATAATATGTATGTATTTAGAAATATATAAGTATATTTATCAGCAGTTTGGTTACTATAGTACAGGCTCTGCCTAGTTTGAAATAGTGAAATATTCTATTATTATTATAGTGGGCCGGCTCTACCGGAGTGCACCTTCTCACAGAAAACCGGTGTTAAGCAAGCGGTCTTTCGTTGCTTTGCACCGAGTGAGTGAGGTTACTGGAGCCCAAACCTCTCCCCATGACTCTTGGGGGAGGACGCAACGCAGTTGTGACTGTGCAGGTGTCTATGGGCGGTGGTAGCCACTTACCATCAGGTTCTTTTTTTGTAAAGACAACTCCCGCATTAGGAATATATATCATGTGTCGCGGGGGACTTTACAAACACACATGAAACGGACACAAAGAACACCCAAACTTAGAACAACAATTTGTGGGTGTCCCATGTGGGGATCGAACCCACAACACTCAGCGCAGCGGCGTAGGAAGCGGCGTGACGACCGCTTAAACCACTACGCCATCCGTGCAGTCAAGGTGACCCGTCTGCTAGTTTTTTGCCCCCTTACACTATAAAAAAGGTCGTCAGCAAACTACATACGATACCTATGAGTAGCCTTGACACATCCTCCAAGTGTTGTACTGACGCGGCAGTCAGGCTTTCATCAAATATAAACGTAAAATAATCGATTAAAATGTTTTGAATTTTTAATTTTGCTCGAGTACATCATGCCACTATTGAATTGCAAAATCGTGTCAAAATTTCACGTTAATCGAACGACTACTTTTCGAGTTTTGCAAGTCCAATTATACGAAGGTTGTATATTAAATGTAACTCGTTTAATTGTTGCATATAATTAGGCAGCTCATGACTCGTGAAGACTCCTGTCTATGTTGCCTTTGAATATATTTTTTTTTAGTTATCGTTCTAAGCGTAGAATGAAAAAAAATGACGGCAAATTCTTTATTTGCCAGACCAGGGTTTGCATCTTTTGACTGGAAAAATAAGTCTTTCTATATCTAGAGTCTGTTAAATATCAGGGGCGCTTAAAGATATCGGATTTAGACTTTTTGACTGTAGGTTTTTTTGATGTTACTAATTTTATTAGTAATTTAAGTTTCTGCAGTCACAAGCAAGACGAATTTTAACCAAAAAAAGAGAAAAATAATATAGCTTATTATTATTTTCATTACGTGATATTGTGTGACAAACATTTTAGAGTTATTAAGACTTGGTTCACGTATTTTTTTACACATCTCACAAACGGCCGATCCCAAACCAGGCAGAGCCTGCACTATGATAAACCAGATGACTAATGAACATAATTTTATACTTCTAAATACCTCACTATTATAAATAATTTACAACCAGACACAGAACTAATGATCGTTCTCATCCCACAATTTTTTGTCCTAGGTAGGAATCGAATCCTCGACCTGAGCAGTTAACGTCACTACCCAGGCTAACAGGTCTAGCAAGGCAACTTTAACAATTTGCAAGCATTTATATGGGTTTTTATATAAGCAGTGTGTTTGCAATGCTTCCATTTTAAGTAGTCTTAATATCACACATAATTTATAATGAGATTATAGTTTTAGCACCTATACGTTGTTATATTATACCAATTATATTGATGTAAATTATACGCTAATTAGTAAGTAAAATATTTAAATATAAACTGTTACCAAGTGACCAGAACAAGAACAGAATATGTATCCTGAATAGTATTATTGACATTATAAATTCTAATACGAGGTGTAAATCCTCCAATTACATAGCAACTTGCTGTGAATATACGTATTATGCTTGGTGCTTATGCAACCAATTCTCTAAGCTTACTAAATTTTATTATTTCTGTGTACAATTAACATTGTACATTTTTTATGTATAGTGTCTATATCTCTGCCTCTGTAAAGTGGCAATTAAGATTTCATTTTTTAGATTATTTTTACCATAATCTAACAGTTCGAGTATTTCATTAACCTTTCTAAAAGTCAGGATATCGGTATAAGTCGAGACATTTTCTAAGACTTGATAAAGTATCTCGATTACCAACTTATCTAGTCTTGTTTCAACACTTGGGAATGAGTATTAGACTTGACTGCTTGAGTATGTTTCGTCGTTTCTTCTCAAAGTAGCGTCGTTTCTAAAGGAAAAGGTGGTACCATCCAGCTTTGAAAAACAATGCCACGATCTATTTGAAAAATAAATTATTTATCATTTATGTATTATTTATCATGTAGTTTATGTATAGTTTGGGGTCAGACGGGAGTGCGTTAATCTGTCAAGCTTGAGGAAATGTAACGCTTCGCCTTCGTGAAACTCTTAGCCAGTACCATATCTACAAAAAAG